CATCATCAAACACTACTGGTGGGAAAACGCACATATTTTCTTCATGCAGATTTTTGAATATTCACATGAAAATCTGTCACCAATTGGATGGAAACCTAGCTAATGTCTCCAATTGTCTGGCCACCAATACATCATGGAATTATGATATTTTCAAAAATAGTCATTCATTTGCAGAGCACTGCAGCGCTCTGACTCAGGGCTTTTTATTTTGATTATTATAAATCGTAAACAAATAGAATTCATCATGAGGCCTTCTGCCGTAAACACCATTTTGCTTAACATCAGATTTATGCCACTGTCTGTGTGTGTGTTTGTCGGGTAATATTGATGACATCTAGGCAATTTATTTTACTGTTTGCTTTAAAGCAAAAAAGAGGAATCGCACGAGAACAAACAAAACATTGACTGACTGACAAAGTCATATTGAGGGGTTGTGTTTGTGTGATGACAGCTCCTTCAGAAAACGAGCAAAGGAAATCTAGGAAAACATATATTAATGTTTCCTGTGGTTGAAAGCAATGCTGGTGCATGTTTAAACATCAGGATAGTTTCATTGTTAATTCTATGATTGGGCATTTCTATAATGTATAATGCCTTCAGAAAGTAATCACAGCCCTTGGCTTTTTCCACATTTTGTTGTGTTACAGCATGAATTTAAAATTGATAACATTTTGATTTTGTTTCACACAATACCCCATCATGTCAAAGTGGAATTATGTTTTTAGAAACGTTTACAAATTAATAAAAAATGAAAAACTTAAATGTCTTTAGTGTAAGTATTCAACCCCTCTGGTATGGCAAGCTTAAATAAATTCAGGAGTAAAAATGTGCTCAACAAGTCACATAATAAGTTGCATGGACTCCCTCTGTGTCCAATAATAGTGTTTAAGATGATTTTTTTAATGACTACCTCATCTCTATACCCCACACATTAAATTATCTGTAAGGTCCCTCAGTCGAACAGTGAATTTCAAACACAGATTCAACCACAAAGACCAGGGAGGTTTTCCAATGCCTCGCAAATAAGGGCACCTATTGATAGATGGCTAAAAAAACAAAGCACGTATTGAATATCCCTTTGAGCATGGTGTAGTTATGAATTACACTTTGGATGGTGTATCAATACACCTAGTCACTACAAAGATACAGTCGTCCTTCCTAACCTCAGTTGCCGGAGAGGAAGGAAACCGCTTAGGGATTTCACTATGAGGTCAATGGTGACATTAAAACAGTTACAGTTGATGTCTGTTATAGGAGAAAATTGAGGATGGATCAACAACGTTGTAGTTACTCCACAATACTAACCTAAATGACAGAGTGAAAAGAAGGAAGCCTGTACAGAATACAAATATTCCAAAATATGCAACCTGTTTGTAATAAGGCACTAAAGTAAAACTGCAAAAATAAATTAACTTTGTGCTGAATACAAAGCGTTATGTTTGGGGCAAATTCAACACAACACATCACTGAGTACTACCATTCATATTTTCAAGCATGGTGGTGGCAGCATGATGTTATGGGTATGCTTGTCATCGGCAAGGACTAGGGAGTTTTTCAGGATAAAAAGAATGGAATAGAACTAAGCACAGGCAAACTCCTAGATGAAATATTGGTTCAGTCTGCTTTACAACAGAAACTGGAAGACAAATTCACCTTTTAGCAGGACAATAACCTAAAACACAAGGCCAGATATACACTGGAGTTGCTTACCAAGATAACATTGAATGTTCCTGAGAGGTCTAGGGCAAGACTTGAAAATGGATGTTTAGCAATGACCAACCAATGAACAACCAACTTGACAGAGCTTGAATAATTCTTTAAAGAAAAATGTGCACATATTGTACAATCCAGATGTGCAAAGCTCTTAAAGACTTACCCAGAAAGACTCACAGCTGTAATCACTGCCAAAGGTGATTCTAACATGTATTGACTCACGGGTGTGAATATTTATGTGTAAATGAGATATTTCTGTATTTCATTATCAATATATTTGCAAATATTTCTAAAAACATGTTTTCACTTTGTCATTATGGGATATTGTGTGTAGATGGGTGAGAGAAAATATATTGAATCCATTTTGAATTCAGGCTGTAACACAACAAAATGTGGAATAAGTCAAGGGGTATGAATACTTTCTGAAGGAACTGTATGTGCAGCATGTGATAACAGACCATGAGTTCAAATGGCCTTGAGCGTTTACAAAAGCATGCCTGGAGTACCAGAGGGTTTGCACATTTGGGACTGTTCCATTGGTTCCATTGCACCAAGCAAGCTCAATCAAGCACAAGTAAAGCATTTTAATTAAATGATTGTAGATAGTGGACTATACCACTCAACTAGCAACTTATTTACATAAAGGGCTCTTGGTAAGTGGACCCCATGTCTACCCAATCAGTGACTAAACATAAGCTGGTACATCATTTCAGAAGATACTGTACCTGAACTTCTCCCAATAAATGTATTCCCATTTAAGAATATTTCCACCTGTTTGCACCCATTGAACAACCCTCATATATTAGTTTTTCAAAGCAGTGTTAACCCCCAATGTTTATGTCCCATGTTGCCTCACAACTTTTCTTCTGTGACTTAAATCCCTTAGTATGTGTTTGTTTCCTTTTATAACTTCCAGGTACTGAACACAAGCTGCTAGGCACCCCGGTTACTTATTGTTTCTCTCTGAACCGCCTCAGGCAAGTGTAAAAGAGATGTGTGGGGTGGCAGTACTGTGTCATCTTAAATACCTTCCGGAAGAAAACTGCCATGCCCTCTTTATCGAGTTCCCAGGTGCCTCAGAGAAACTGGAGGCTTAATTCTATAATACACCTGAAACGTCCCTCACAAATCCTTATTTTAATGACAATGTCCTTCTCTGTATTTTGGCAAGAGAAGTGACTAAGCCTACTGTATATTCACATTTCCTATGGTAACGTAAATTTGAAGCTATTCCTACTGGGATTAAATGTGCTGAGCATCAATTCTTTGAGTTCTGATTTTCTCAAATAGTCAGATGCAATTGACTACTGATCTCTGAACTTCTGTGATGACATAGAAACTCATATCTTACTGTAATGTACAATGTGCATGTTACCAGTTAACCATCATTGGATTGGGCAGAGGATATTAGAATTTGCAATCATCAAAACAACAAGTTTAGTTCGCTACCGGTCAGACTGGTGTAACTTTGATACTATTTAACCAATGATTTGTAGTATATAAAATAAAATAAAATGTTATTGGTCACATTCACATATTTAGCAGATGTTATTGCGGGTGTAGCGAACCCTTATGACTATGCTATGCTATGACACCTGTCAGTACCAATCCATGACATTAAAGAGATTCATAATATTATTTGATTGACTGATGTGTAGGGTTTTGGGAAACGGTATTTGTCTGTTCAAGTAAAAGACAGTTTGAGATGATAGTGCACTCCATGCATATTGTCTCTCATACCCAGTATTGTTATTTTTCTCTGTGGCCACCTGTGTCCAGAACCAGCAAACTGCTATCTGCTATGAGAAGACAGAGAAGCTTAAACCCGCAAGTTTCTCGACTCCATTGTCAAGTGAATCTCTTCAAAGTGCAGCTTGTTGTTTGTTGGTCCCTATGACACATCACCTTGTTTCTGTGACTTCATTCATGCTCATTGGTGTGTGTCATCAAGAGGCTAAAAGATAAAACATACAATGTGACAGTCAATATGAGTGTCTCTAATCAGTGATAGACAAACTACATATGAAAGTTAATGTCTTGACCACTTAAACCACAAATATTTTTGCTGAGGGTCAGGTTATCTTCAAGTCGGGAATTGATATATCCATTAAGATTAAATACAATTAATGTTTTCCTCCATGATGCTACATAGATTTAATGAAAAAATCTCCAAGTTGAGAAAGCAGAATCCAGATTTAGAGTTTATTTTACAATTGCAGAAAAGAACAATACTTTCATGATTTAGAGGATAGAATTTTGAACAGTATTAATGAGAAAACATTGAAATGTATAATTTCTTGTGCATTGCATGTTTACTTTGACATACAGTACCATGCATCAGAAGAGATGCCCGTGTAGTTATATTTAATCATGTAAACCACAACAAAGGACCTACTTTTCATTGAAAAAAGGACATGTTCTGGCTCTACAGTATACATATACTGTATATATTTATAGCTATATACAGTACATAGTTTATTGTATATTTATTTTTTCCATATTTTCTATAAAGTGACAATATAAAAATGCACACAGTACAAAGAATGTTGAGCTTCTGCAAATAGCAAGATATGATGACATACATTTACACATACTTGCTGATCATTTATATATTTATCAGTTTTAAAACTTAATTTACAAGTTGAAACTGAAGCTGCACACAATAATAAAAATACAACTGGTATCAAAGCAAATATGGCAATACCACCATTAAATAATACTTGATTAGTGAAAGAAATATGCAGAGAAAAGCTGAACATATTCATGAGTATTCTGTTTTTTCTGCAGTTTGCCATAAGGCCTACATATCATCCTTTAACAAGTTCTATCCCATATGCAATTTTGAGGTGATCAGGAGAAGTGAGAATCTTAACGTTTAAATGTCATCGTGCCATGGAGTTTATTTTAACAATCCTAATGTGTACCTCTTCATAGTAGCCCAAGTGCAGAAATATATGATTAGCTGAAAACAACAAAAAACCTTCACATCAATCATATATTTTCAGAATTTGTGGTTTGTGTAAACTTTTTTTTTATTTTTATGTTGGTTTACTCTGAATTCACTGAAAAACATGCACAGACAAAAGAGCCTAAAGATCATATAAATAATCTGCTAAATGTGAGTTGAAAAATAAAAGACAACTAAAATCCAAAACAGAACATGGCCCAGTTTTATGACAGCAGTTACTTCGGACTGATTCCAAAGTCTCAGTTAAGATGCAGTGCAGTATTAAGATATAGTGCAACAATTCAGTAATCAGTCATGCCATCGGCTTTGTCCACCTCATTTAGGCTTTATCAAACTTTTCTAGTTCAGTGACAAAGATCAGGTGGTCTTCCGGCGACTTGCCATGTGTTTTGCTAAGGTGAAGCTTGACCGCATGCTTGCTGACAAAGGTCCGATTGCACAGCGTGCACTGAAATACAGAGCCTGAGTCTTCCTCAGTAAGTCCCAGGGAACTGAAAGTCTTGTCCGTTATCATTCTGGTAACTGCCTGCTGCTCCCTAATGTGATCTATGGAAAGCTTGGAGAGGTCCTTCATGCTAAAGCCTAAGTGGGACTCCAAATGATTTATGTAAGAAGAAGGAGTCCTAAACTGAGAGGCACAGTCACTGCACAGAAACAGGGGCTGGCCCGAGTCAATGTTCTTCAGGAATTTTGTCCCACCTGTCCTCCTCAGCTGGTACTTGACGTTGGCCAGCCAATGGGAGATAGTGGTCAAGGAGAGACCGGTGAACTTGCAGATGTGGACCCGCTCCTGGGGGCCTAGGTCAGTCATGACGAACTTGCCGTCAGACGTCTCCCGGAGACAGGAGGTAAACTGGGCCTGAAGGATAAGGAGGTGCTGAGGATTCCAGTTGGACTGCCGCCCTTTCCTTTTCTGGACTGCAGAGAGCTCCTCCAAGCCATCCTCAAAGGCGCTGTTGTCCGCGTCAGATTTCTCCGAGATGGAGGACGGGGTGGAGGATTTGGGTGTCTGACGGCCAGTCAGGTTCTTGACCATGTCGGAGATGTCCATCAAAGCATTTTGGGACGAGAGAGTTTCAGACAAGCTTGAGAGGATGGGTCTGTTGCTGTTACTGGTAGTACAGTTGGTAGTGCTGTTTAGCGTAGTGGAGGTGCTGTTAGCAGTTAGTCCGTTAGTGTTTTTGGATTTTGTCAAGTCCATGGGCTGGTCGTTGTTGTCATAGAATCGATTGATTGACTGAACTTGTTTGACCTGAGTGGAGTTGTTCATGGGCTTCTCCAGCATGTTGTTACTGATCTTGTACAGCTTCGCCAGAGGGTCTAAATAGAGGGTGGCCGTCTTTGAGGCCTTTCCCAAGTGATTGTTCATGATGGACTGCAACGCACTGAGGGGGTTGACAAAAGGCTGCTCAGGTGAGTGATCAGTGATGATTCCCAAGCTGTTACAGCCGTTGCCGACTGCCGTTTTTGGCAGGTCTGTTCCATTCTTCGTTGGCGGATCTGCTTTGGTGTCTTTTGCCTCTCCCTCTCTGCTTCTAGGCTCGCTCTGATCCTCTACAGCAATGTTTTTCACTGGCTTGTTGAGGCTATCTGCCTTGGGTGACCCCTTCCTCTCCTTGGACAGTGGGGAGGGAGACTTGGCAGACCTCACTTTGCATTTATTTTCTAAGGTCTTTTCCTCCTTCTCCTTCTTCACAGTGACCTTCCCTGTGACTTTTTCCACCAGCTCTTCCATGGCCAACACATTGTTCTTGTGGCTTGGAGGTGGGGAAGGGCTGCTCGGAGAGTGGATCAGATTGTTGGAGTCAGAGGACATCATCTTCAAGCTGCTAGTGCTGAACAAGGGTTGAACCACCTGGACACTCTGCATGGAGGACTTCAGAGGCCCCTGGAGCTGGTAGGCAGCGTGGATGCTAGGGTAGCCAGCACCACCCCAGGTGGGCGTCCCAGTCTGGGCCTTGCTGATGGCACTTGACACTGTGAACTCTAAGGACTTCAGGATATCCAGACCTCCTTTGGGAGTTTCCTCCAGGTCTTCCTCTGTGAGATACTTGTAATGTCCAGCCTTGCCAGCTTTCTCACATTTCTCAGTCAGATCCTCTTTCTCCTCTTTGATCTTCTTCTCTGGTTCACGCATATCCATGTTCTCCTCATGTTTCTCCCTTTTCTCTTCAGTGGGGGAGGAGTGCAGGGGAGGAGAATCAGGCTGGGACTTCACATTGGGCACCGGGAGTCGTGTAGAGGTCGGAGGGAGAGGAATGGACTGTATATTTTCCTCAACCACGGGGTCAAACATCAACTGCTTCCCCTTTTTGGATGCAGAGTTGGTCACTTTCAGAAAGTGTCCTGTGACCATCATGTGGGCTGTCAGTTGTTGCAGGGTGTCGTGGGAACTCCCGCACTCCATGCATTTGAGGATCTGGGCCTTACGCGCCTCAAACTGCCAGGTGTAACTGGCGCCATTTTGGTAGCCATATCGGTTATTTGCTGTGACATAGGGGTTAACCACTTTCTGGTCTTTTGAGGTCTCTCCCAGGTGTACACCAGGTGTGTTGTGGACAGACTCTGGTGAGCACGGGGACACCAAGTCCTGAAATGCTCTTTTTCTGGTAGGGGGCACCAGCTTTGAGACGAGGGCTGGCATGGGTTCTTTGAGAGGCACTTTCTGGTAGTGTTTCGTTTTGATCATGTGGACGCTCAGGTCCTGCAGGGATTCAAAGGAGTGGCCGCAGTACATGCACTTGAGCACCTTTTGAGCATCCTCCTTTCCTTCCATCTCCATGAGGGAGCGCTTACGGGGCTTAGACCACCTCTTTCCCCGCTCCTCCTCCTTATCCTTGTTGTCGTCACGGTAGTGGCCTGACTCGCTCATGTGCACCGTGAGCCCCACCAGTGTGTCATAGGCTCCGCTGCAATCCTTGCACCGAAACTTGCTGGCACCGGTGAATACCGGTCCATAGAGCTTGTTGTTCTGCCGGTAGAGCTGCACAGTGCTGAAGAGGCTCGGCTCGGGGAGGAGGTTGTATGGTGTATGTTGCAGGGTTTTGGCCAAAGCTGCTTGGTGCCAGTCGTAGGCCACTCCACCGGTGCTGCCAGTGCTGACGCCAGTGCCATTGTTGAAAGTATTAGCGGTGCTTGTAGCGGTAGTGTTGCCGGTAGTGTTGGTAGGGGCAGAGGTGCCACTGCTGCTGTTGCTGTTGGTGTGGTTATTATTGTTCACAAGGCTGTTAGCATGACTGTTAGGGTTAACGTTGCTCCCCTTGTGGCTGCTTCCATTGCTGTTGCTGATCACACTGCTGACCTTGTTGCTGTTACTTCTCAGCATGTCCATGGTGATGCTGGACCAAGAGGCGTCCGAGATCAGGTTTGCATAGACAGCTTTCATCTGTGCCAGGCTGTCCTGCAGAGACAGGCCGTTGGGGACCTTCAGGTGTTCTACTTCTCCTCTGATTACCTCTTCCTCCTCCTTGTCAAGTCCGTCCTTGGAGGGAGTGCTCTGGAAGTCGATAAGCTGGTCGCTGGTATCGCTGAGCGGAGAGGCGTAGCCGGCGTCCGGGTTGGTCCCATTGCTGAGCGGGGAGTTCTGGAAGCTGAATCGGTCCCCGCCATCGTCATCCTCGTTGCAGAGGTACTCGCCGTCATGGCCATCTAAGGAGAGGCCATCGTCCTGCAGGTGCTCCTCATCGATCTTGTCATCAGCCTTAAATTCCTCCTCGTCCCCATAAGCTGAAAAACACAAGAGAAAAAAAGGGACATCAGCCAACTCGTTGGGGCAGAACATTCCATCAGATGTGTATAAAGATTATTGATGTGTATTCCATCATGTGTGTTTGTGTTTAATGTGTGTGTACCATGCATGCATGTGTGTATTTCTGAGTGTATAAGAGTGGGTGGGTGTAATGATTCTTAAGATATTTTAGTCAATAGTCCTGGCGGAGGACACAGCTTTGCAATTATAAAGTGGCAAACATCCATATCTTGACGATGATAGATAGTCCCCTACACTGTGCAGCCTAACAAAGGTATCGAACATTATGGCTCAGCAAGGGTAAAGGAGAACAAAGATGAGCAAGAGGAATATTTCCCCTTGAGTTAAAAAACTAGGGACACAAGCACAATTCTACATGATGGAAAACCGGTTCCTAAAGCAGAAGATGCATATTAATCAACACTGAGAGTCCACTGCCTTTGACAAAAAAGGTCAGTAGCCTACATACAGTATGCTATAACTCTCATGTTTGTTGCTTTGTAGTGCTTTTATGTCTTAACTGCATGCTATCATACACTCTATATGGATGTATACTGTTGAATACAAATATGCAAAAGAAGTTGACAGTCTTACATCTTATCTATTTCAAATATCCAAATGATTAGACTACCCAGAAAAAAGGTGACCACAACAGTCAGTTTATGTACTGAAATGGCTTCCTCTCTTCTAGATGGAGGGCACTGACTCTCTCTGACTTTGATCCAGTCTCTGCTACCACTGTGCCACTCACACACTGCCCTTCAAGTGTGAGATAGCGGGTGAGCGTGCCAGGCCCTCGGCCGGGCTGGCATAGAGTTGGCATTGGAAGTCCTCACAGTATGACGCGTGGAAATTGCCGGTGGACATGACATGCCATGTACTAGTTCTCAGGGAGTCAAGTGTGCCGGCTTGCAGGGGGAAGGGAAACAGTGTTACCCATAGAGGATGGGGGCGTGAGTTCTGAGTATACTTTCTCCACACAGAATGACTGTCAAGGTTATATCAAGGTTCCTCTACATACTATTTTTAATCATACCATTTTTTTTTAAAATCAGAATTGAGGAAAAACTACACCTTTGACCCATATGTTTATAAAAATAAAGTAATGTTTTCTTCAATACCAAAAAGATGATGTAGTCCTTATGTGGTCTTTCATCAGATAAAGGATGACTAAATGTATAATAACAACACCCGCATGGCTATGGTATGCGGCTAATGAAACAGCATTTTCCTCTGAATTTGACACGTTTAAGTGTTGCCAGCCTCGAAAAGGGAATAATGGAACTCTTTTGTCGGGGCACGAGACGAGAGAAAAACACTCACCATTTATTTAATGACCATTATGAAACGGGACCGAGCACTTAACAAGGCACTGCCTGTGTTGATCAGCTGCCTGGGTGGTTATCTTTAACGGCAGACAAACAACATGGGATTCAAACCCCTGTAGCTATGCAGGAATTATGGCAGAAATGTTACTTTGAGAATAAGCCTATAACCAGTGTCAACTGTCTCTCAAGTAGAATTCCAGGCCCTCTGGACTCCGAAACAATGTCAGACATCAACTTTCTCTAAACTGCACTTAGTAGCAAATGAAGAATTGTAGAGGAACGTATTTCCAACTATCAAACCTGTTAGAATTTTGCAATATTATGTAATGTTTCATTGAATATGAAAATGTGCTGCATCTACTTTACATACGGTAATCGTAAAGGACAAATACATAGAGAAAAGGACAGAGAGAGAGGGAGAGAGAGTGAAAGAGATACAGAGACAGACAGATGGTGACAGTGCTCGGGCAGTTCACCTTATCCTCTCCCATAAGATGCTTGTCCAAGGTGCCAGTATCAGTCTCTAGCGAGGAGGCAGATGTGCTGTCAGCTCCTGAACATCGTGTTGCCGCTCAGGCCCATAATCGGAGAAGACATAATACCTGATGTTTGTGAGCTGCCATTTACTGCTGCCTGGGAGAAGCTGGAGGGCCATAAGCAACTGTGACTATGGTGTGTGTGTGTGTGTGTGTGTGTGTGTGTGTGTGTCTCTGTCTCTCTGTGTCTGCATGTGTGTGTGCTGGTATAAATGTGTACGAAGATCCATCGCTGTGCTAGCGTGTACTGTATATGTGTATACGTACACACAAAAGGTAATACTACACCATTGCTCACATAATACCTGCAATCTATCTGTCTAACACTACAACTAGGCCTATCCGAGAGCCCGACATTACACCCTTTCAAAAATAATCAAATTCAAGCCAATTACAAACATCTAAAAATCAACAGTCCGTGTATTGTCAAGAGCATTCCGTATTTCATTTCATTACAGCGTCTGGTTGAGTACCTCAAAGCACTGATAACTCCCCCATCACTCTTACTCTCTCGCCATCTCTAAATAGCTAATCACATTAAACAACGCACACCCCCAAAAAATGGCGTCTCCACTATAATTACCCTTAGCTCTTACTGAGTGGAGTGGGTAAAGACGGAACGCCTTGACAGAAGAGACAGACAAGACAACCTGACACTTCTAAAAAATACGTCAGTCTTTTCCTGCACACACACGTGCACATACACGTCAGCCCAGAACCCTCCCCCCCACTACACACACACCTTCCCCGACATCCCCAGTCTGCTGCCTCCACCTCGACAGCCATCAGTGTCAAATCATGTGTCAGTGTCAGGGTGGTGGGTGTCAGTGTCCACAAACAAGCCTTTTTTCTCAGCGAAAGGAAAATAACAACAACATAGAAGTCGGCCATTTTTTCTTCTTCTCTACCTCCTTTTTTTGCCATCTGTGTAAAATAAAAAGCTCCTGGTGCCACCGGCGGCTAATAAGGCAATCAGAGATGGGGAGATGCTGACACTGCTTGTTGAGCCGCCCGCTTTCAAGCTTCACTCAGAACAACGGAGCGAGGGGGAGGGAGAGGGAGGGGGGAAGGATTAAAATGGGGGAAGGGAGGAAGGGGGATGTCTGTTGTGGTTGTCAATCAAGAGAGAAAATAAAAATAAGCCCACTTTGTGCTGTCATGGAGAATGGAAGAGGAAAAAGGTTGTACAAAAAAAAAGGAGGAAAGAAGATACATTTAGGGGTTAGCTGACAGAGGTGTGAGCAGGAGAGTTTGTCTGTCTATGGGTAGGTCTGAAATGGTAGAGGGGTAGTATGTGAAATTGACTGTAACCTGAGGCAGCGAGATACAAAGCAGAAGGTGTGCAGTTGTATGTGTATGTGTGTGAGTGAGTGAGGGTTGGTTTGTAAGCATCTATGCCTATCTATCCACATGGTGTGCTAGGGAGATATTCTGTGTGCATGTATCCATCAGGTGTGTCCCTGTGTGTGTGTGTGTGTGTGTGTGTGTGTGTGTGTGTGTGTGTGTCTCAGTTTGTCACTAAGTGTTTGCGTCAGTGTCAATGACGTGTGTGTGTGTGTCAAACACAGAGGGGACGTGTGATGGCTGTGGAGAGGAGAGGGAGAGCAGGCCATCTGCGTCCAGAGACGAGCCTGTCACTTTGGCCCGGGCTTCCTCCAGACAGGTGACACCTCGGCAGGACACTACCGGGCCTTTGCTGTCACACAGACACACACACACACACACACACACACACCCCTATGTGTACAGTACATAGATAAAAACAGACAGACATTCTCACAGTCACTCATACGCAAACATGTACAAGCCTTCTCTATGCCAAGCTCAAAAAATTGTCATCTGTTATAGCTAAGCATAGAAATAACCATTGGAACAACTTGAGAATCAACTGGCGAGACAGGCCCCGCTGCTTCAAAACAAATTAGATGGAAGGAGTCATTTCACATACTGTATATTTCTCCTTGCTCGTTTCTCTTGTGCAAATCTGCCACTTAAACCCATAATGCTATCTGTCATGGGATGCAGAGGCTACACCATTTGGCTGGTGTCAAACTTAACCAAAGCTTTCTGGAGAGACAGGGAGCGAGTGCAGTTGAGCGCGAATCAGCACCACCGAATTGCAACACACACACACACACACACACACACACACACACACACACACACACCCCTCTCAACCCTCCTTATTTATTTATTTACTCTGTCTCGGAGAAGAGGGCCAATCCCGGCAGTCATTTGTGGTGCTAATGTCCAATTCCGCCTGCTCTCACTCCGCTGATTTAGCCCGTGTCGGGCTCTCTGCTATTCCAGACGGCAACCGAGTCGCCGTTTAGACGCCCTTCAAAATGAGGGCTGAAACGATGCGAGTCGTATTCCTCTCTCCCCGCTTCGGTTTGTCACCGGCCCCTCTGCTCGCTGCCACTTAGCTGTGATGGCTTTGGACAGGCCTGATCAGTGTGTGTCATTTGACCTGCATGGTGTGTGTGTGTGTATGTGTGTGTGAGGGAGAGGAGAGGAGAGAGGGACAGTGGGACTGGCTGTAAATAAAATGACATTATTATTTCCTCTGTCCTATCATGTAGAAAAGTCAATTATGGTAATGCACCGCATGTCAGGGGGAATACGGCACAATCCCCTTCTCTCTCTTTTTTCTTCTTCTCTGAGACAGCCACTGCTGCACAGGCCTGGGTGGTGTGATGGTGTCTGTTCCAAGCGCTCGCGGGCCTATGCTAAAGCAAGCTGGCATTAAGGCCTACTGCCTACGTTCGCTTAGGCTAACTGAGGAAAAACTGCCAGACCTTTTCATATACGTCTGTGTGTAAAAGGGTCGACAGCATTTCGAGATGATTCTCAGTTGTTCTCTTTGCAAAACAAAAAGCCACAAGGCATCCTATTTGTTGGGCATCTTATTTACTGTAATGGTGACGACATCTTTGTTTTTTTACTTCTCTCATGGCTGCTGTTGGTGTAAAATCTCCTTCAAGAAATAATGAAGGTATTAATCAGCTAGCAAAGTTTGACTACTTTTCTGGGTGTCCAAACCAATTTGCCCCCTCAATATGCCCAGTCACAATCTATACCAGGGAAGAGCATTCTGTTTTTACCCCTCTTTTTCCATCATACAATCCTTGCTTAGGGAGTTACCCCATTCAATGCTTAGCATTATTCTTGTGATTATTTTCCCTCCCTTTTTTGTCTCAGACAGATCAAACATTATCCCAGACCAAACAAAAAAAGAGGGGGGGGGGGGGGGGGGGGGCTTTGAAGTTCTGAGGCTTGTTTTAGACGGACTCCACCCACCTCTCCCCAGTCTAACAACCCCGCCCAACTATTTAAAGTGACATTGATTTGTGTTGCCATGGACTCTGTGGAGCGGTCGCTATAAATTAATTTATGCTTTTCCCTCAACTTCCTCTTATAAAAGTCTGTTCACAGTTCCACGCCCCCCCTTCCCTGCCGCCCATGTGGAATAATCGACCATATGGCACAATACCTGCAGGGCCTCCAATAGCTGGTGTACTGTTCCAGCAGGACGTGCAAATTCATCTCCCCGGCTTTCCAAAACTTCATGACGTGGAGGACAACAATGTTTGCTACGCAACTGAGTGCCCGTGTCTACTTTCGACAAGATATATGAAATGTAGGATCAAAATAATTCAAATTCATTGAAGGTATTACTTTTTTCTAATCTTATGCTCGAGTGGAGACAGTTCTTAATCAGTGATTGTAATTTATTTTCTATTCAGTTCACATCTCTAGGAGACAGAACGCGTCTCCTTCCTGAGCGGTATGACGGCTGCGTGGTCCCATGGTGTTTATACTTGCGTACTATTGTTTGTACAGATGAACGTGGTACCTTCAGGCGTTTGGAAATTGCTCCCAAGGATGAACCAGATTTGTGGAGGTCTACAGTTTTTTTCTGAGGTCTTGGCTGATTTCCTTTGATTTTCCCATGATGTCAAGCAGAGGCACTGAGTTTGAAGGTAGGCCTTGAAATACATCC